AAATTTCCTACTAAATGGCTTAGCCTGCTATTTCTAGCATCAAGGAAAATAGCATTGCCTTGTGGAAGGGCAGAGCATTATTTCCCAATAAAGCTTGAATATTGGGGAAAAATGGTATAGGGGAAAAATAAATCATTCTGAGATTGAATGAAGAGAGACAATGAAGCCAGCAGTTAAAGTTATGTATTCCTGAGTAAAAAGAAGGCAATAATCTCATTCTGGATTTCCAGGTATCATTTGTGGCTTGTTGAGGTTAATGCCTACCTTCACTCACTATATCTGAAAGCTTTAGGCTTTTTGTGTCATAAGATTTCTCAGAGCTGCTTTTCTATGCCAAGTGGCTGAGAATGTAAAATCAAGCCCAAGGCTAAGCAAAATATATATATATATATATATATAGTAGCTTGATTTTCTAACTTAAATATATTTAAGAAACAAAGTAATAATGTGTTAGCCTTCATTAATTAGTCATTCCCTGATGAACAGTCCAAGAAGCTGAACTGAAGGACTGTTTTGGAAGTCAGACAGTAGCTTATATGGAAAGAGATACCTCTCTGTGCATTTGTGTGTGTGTGTCTTTGAGTCAGTCTTCGCTCCTGATGCTTGCCTTGACGGGACCCTGCAGTTTTCTTGGCAACATTTTTGGAAGTGGCTTGCCATTGCCGCCTTCTCAGGGCTGAGAGCGAGTGACTGGCCTAAGGTCACCCAGATGGCTTCATGTCTATGGTGGGACTAGAACTCACACCAAACTGCCTCTCCCGTGCATATAGCATTGTATTTGTGCATCAAATTTAAAGAGGAGAGGAGCCCATTGTGGAAGTCTATAGCTGGCCAATACAGCTACTCAGTTGCCTGACAATCGTTTCCAGCCTAACACTTATGCCATGAAAGCAGGTTCCACGTTTTTAAGCCTAGGAAACCTCCAGCTCCATTATTAGTCCATTGTTGGGAATCCTGAAGGACCACATTGGGACAGATCACGCCGAGGAAGCTCTACCAGTATAGTTGCTCAAAGTCAGCACGGACTTGATGGCACAGAATCATTTTGTTTCCAAGGGGCTGGGAACAAGATCATCCATTTTCACTACAAAAATTGCTGCAAGCCATTTGGAACTCAGACGGAGATGCCAGATGACATGCTGGCTGGCTGCCTCTCATTAATAAAGTTATTTTGTGCATATTTTCCCCTGCTGTGTCCATAACCTCATTTCACGCATGGTTTCTTATTTACTTTGTATAGTGAGGTCATTTGAGTAGCATGTGGCATGGCTAGAAATCAGTGATTTTTTAGAAAAAAAGCCATGCCCAGAAGAAACCAGAGAATCAGATTCAATGGAGGAGCTCCACGGAATGCTTCTTTAAAAAAAATGGTTAAGCAAATACTGATTACTTTAACTCTTGCTTAATTTTTTAACACAAGCACACCCAAATATGATTGTAAGAACAAGGGTCTCTGGGGGGAAAATGGTAACTGTGACATTGTGTTTTTCTATATACACATGGGATGACAGCCAGCGTGGTGGTGTGGTTACTGCTGAACTAGGAGCAGAAAGGTCCAGCCTCTACTTTCCCTGAGGCAGGAAAGCAGTTGGGTCACTTTGGGCCAGTCCCTTCCTCAGCCCTAGAAAGGGAAGCTGAAAAACATTTATCCATCCACCCGCACTGGATTAATGTGGTTTTTCTATGAGATTCTAAACAACAGCATGGCGCTCACTGACCATTCTAGAGCAGCCATTCCCTATTTAAGTATCTGTTCTGTAATCTGAGAAAACTTCAGCATCCTTCTGCTTTTCCACAGAGTATTGTGGAGTTCTTCATGGGATATTTTGCCATTTCCCAAGGATCGGTGGCTCTGACAAAGATGGAACTGGAGATTAGGTATATCGGCATCTGCAGTGTGCGATGTGGACTATAATATTAATTGATGCTCTACCTCCAGCACAGTGTTTCTTAACCTCAGCAGCTTCAAGATGGGTGGACTTCAAGTCCCAAAATTCCTTAGCCAGCATGCTGATTGGGGAATTCTAGGAGTTGTTGTTCACACTTCTTAAAGTTGCTGAGGTTGACAAATGCTGCTCTAGCATAGATACAGATATATTCTGGTGTGGTTTTTTTTAAGACAAAAGGTGCATGCAGAAATATACAGACATACAAGCTCACTACGATTATGTTGTGGAGGGGAGGGATGGGAGTGAGAATGCTGAATGATAATCATCTTTCATATCAATTGAAAATAAATATCAAATTTCCTGCAGATACAGCACTCAGAGAAAATTGATACAAGATGGTCTTAAACTGGTATATTATACTTGTGCTGACTGCCAAAGTAGACACTGTATTCAATAAAATGGTTGGAAATGCAATAATCAAGTCGGATAATGTTTTCACACTTAGCACTACAAAAGCACAGTTCTGAAAGATGATTCATCACAGAATAAAACAAATTCTAAGTATCAACTTTTCTTTCCTGCCAGCTGGGTTTCTGTTAAACATTATATATATACTACAAAGTAGACAGAGCTGGCTCTGTACAATCCGACAGAGCAGATGCGCTTCATGTCTCCTCTCATAAGCAACGTCCCCAGAGGGGACGGAGGATCTCTGCTGTAGCGCCTGCTCTCTGGAGTAATGTTCCCCCAGAACCTGATGGACTTTTAGACGCCTTGGGTTTTCCCCCAAGTTCTGGGATAGGCTGCTGTTGTACCCACTGTGTATAGTTCGTCTTTATTGTGGCACATCATTCCCCCTGTTCAGTTCTATATCATTTTTTTTCGGTACTGTCATGGTTTTATCAGGACACCACCAGGCATTTAAGTGGGATGACTTTTATAAATCTAAATGAATATTGACTGCCTTTGTTAATTACTGAATATTGATTTGATTTTAATAATGCTTTTAAACTGCTAAATTAATTTATGATTACCTTTACATACAGTCCTAATCCAATGTTACTTCAAGCATTTTTATTCCATTTTATACAGTTTGTAAATCTCTTTTCTTTGTTGCTCTTTCTTCTTGATGATACTTTTACATAACCGTTAAAAGAAAATAAAAAGATAAACATCTTTGATATCAAAGACTTTGTCCTCCAAAATGTCTGGTGCCAAAACACTACAGAGCATTGAAGCTTTATGCCTCTGTGTCTCTTTGTCTAAAAAGCTCATTCCTGATAAAATGAAAAAAGAAGGAAAGAGAGAGAAAACATGGGCTGTTAACCAAAAGATTATGGCAGGTGCCTCATAAAAGAACCATAACAAACAGTATCCATTAAAAGGTCTGTTTCAAGGTATCCTAGTCATTATAGTAATGTGAGCCTTGTCTCCAGAACAGCACAGACAGGTCCACTTCAGATTTAAGCATTATAAACACAGAACTTGATCCCAGTTTCCCACAGCTTAAGCTGTTTCACATCTGCACAGATCAGCCCCATGATATTTAAATGATTGCATGCAAGTTCAATGGTACAGTATAGTTTGAAAGAAAAGCATTCCTGGCCAACTCCCATCAATGGATGGGAGAAGGGGAGAGGGGCCACCACATGCTTTCGTGTTGGAAATCCCAAAGCTGCCAACCCTCCCAAGTGAAAGCGTTCAGAAATTCCCACCAATATTAGTTACAATGTCACTAATAGTGCAGGACGGCAGCCAAGCCCCACCCAAGCTGTGCAAGATCAACCCAGGTTTCAGCAAAGTCTCTTTAATGCTGGACTTGGCTAAATACCAAAGCTTGGAAACTTTGGTATTTCCCAGCCTCATTTATAGTGAGTTAATTAAGGTGGAGTTGCTCTGAATGATTTTAAACGCTCCTTCCCAGGTTTCTTGCCACCTGGGCTAAGTTGCTGTTTAGGATAAGCGAGCTCTGGGTTGCTCAGAAGCAACCTCCCTGCCCTTCCGGTCTACAGTCGCTCCCTCGCAAGTAGCGGAGAGCCTGCCAAAGCGTCAAAACCAAAGCAGACTTCACCGCACATCAGAATCGCTGTTGCATGCAACCATGTAAACAGCAGTATAGTAGGCTTTTTGTGTTTTTGTTTTTAAAGATTAAGAAGAGTGCTAGAAATGAAGACAGAAAGAGCAAGAGTACAGCGGCTTTAGAAGTGAGTCGTGCCTGCAGGCCCTGCAGTGAACAGGCAGAGGAAATCGCCCCAATGGAGGGATCCTGAGGGCCTTCGCTCCTACTTCCGCATCGCCCCGGAAGGCCTGACTCGGGATGCCGAGTACCTCTACTGGCTTGCATCCTGCCGCTTCCCTGTCTCTTAGATTCCAGCTTGCCAGCAGCATGGCCAATGAGGAGTGTAATGGTTTGTGGGAATGACCCTGAGAGACAGGCCAAACAGACACAGCCAAGGGAATGGTCAGATAAAAGGCAGTTTAGCCCGCAGCAGGAATGTGGGCAGGGCAAGAGGCTCAAAAAGGACGCTCCCTAGTTTCTTGGGCTGTAAAGGGGACGCGTGGGGGAGAGATACTTTCAGACTTGCAAGATTCTGTTAAGGGAACCTCACAATAAAGTAGAATTGGCTCATCTGGCTGTGTTTCCCATCTGGTCTACCTTGCAAGGCTGACCTCCATCTTGCAAGGGAGGGATGTTATGAATGGTAGTTCAGGAGCAGATGGACGGTCCAAGGGTCCCCAGTCTCAGGGAAGGAGAAGAGCCAGAGCCCAGATGGAGTCCTGTTCCATCTTTCAGTATGATAAGAACGGCTGTGTAGCCTGAAGGAGCCCTTGGAAGGGGTTTCAGATATAAAGAGTCAGAGGCGTGTACAGATTCCATCGCCCTGAGATTTATTCACACATTAGATCTCTGTCAAATATTTCACAGAATCTTTAAACAACTGAACTTCCTTTTTGACAATAATAATATAAAATACATAAAATATTTGGCTATAATTTAAATAGAATACAATATTTCATCTTTCATCAATGACACATTTAAGTTAGGAGTGTGCAAGGTCAGAATAAGAGTCGAGCGTGTTCTTTTTTCACATCTGAAGCATCCAAAAGCCTTGGCTTCTTTCTTGAGGCTTCTCCTGGTGAAGTTAGAGGAGGTAGGAGGTTGTCAGTTTAGGACAAATGATTTATACGATCTTCAACCCATGGTGCACTGGGATCTGCACAGATCCGTACGTTTCTGTGTGTGGTAAATCTGCAGAAGAGACATATGCATGCATATTTAGTCAAAAGCTGAAAAGAAAGCAATTCTCTCCTTACAACTGGCACCACACTCAGCTTTTAAGGGGGCAGAGCCTCTCCCATCAGTCACCCTCAAGGGGCTCCTGTTCCAAATTGATTTGATAAGAGGGGAGCGCGTGTGCAGATGTCTACTGAATCCTCCAATTAATTTAAATATTTAAGTCAAAGGGCTGATTTGTCTGAAAACTTTGAATCTAAGATTGAACTAAAGCTGCACACAGACCCTTTCGAGAGAGATACATTTAGATTTTAATATAGTTTTGGGCCAAGAACTCTCTGGCCTCATTGTGATATGTTGGGTGGGAAGGCCTGTCCAAAAAGCAGAGGGGACAGGACAAGAACTGATTTTAATTTTAAATTAAATTCACATGAATTCAGTACAGTGAATATGATTACAGGGTAAATATGATTATGGCTGGTGCACTTTTCCACAAAGGTCACACTAAAAATTACAGTTTGATAGATGTTTCAAGGGCAGTCAGCACTGCATTCAACATGTTCAGGGACGACTTAAGATGTTGGGGCCTCAAGTTGCCCTATTCTTACTCCAACCATGACATCCTTCAAGAAAACTAAAAGATGATAGATAGATGGATATAGATATTTCAAGTACTTACATGATAGCTGGCATGGAGCACTTGATATTTGAGTGTTCATAGGACTTCAAGAGCTTCCGTGGAACAGGTTTGTTTATGTAGTTGAAACAACAGAGGCTTGGGTCTGAAAAAGAAGAAAAGAGGCTTGAGTCATTTTAATGGTTTCCCTTCCCTGATCTTTGAGTCTTTAACGTGAACTTCTCACCTGCTAGTTTAAAATATCTACCATTCCCCTCACGTAATATCGGCAAATTTTCCATGGTCCTACCTTACCATGGACCATCTTATCATTATTAGATTTATATCCCACCTTTATTTTGTACAACTCAAGTTGGCATACATAGCTTGTGCTTCTTCCTCCTATGCTCCCCACAATAATAACCCTGTGAGATGGGTTGGGTTGAGGCAGAATGACTGGCCCAAAGTCACCCATCCGGCTTTCATGCCTAAGGGAGGACTAGAACTCACAGTCTCTCTTCTTCTAGTCTACCACCCTAACCACTACACCAAATTGGCCCTCAATATGAAGCAGTAACTTCAAAAGCAACAGAGATTGTCTCTGAGGGGTCACAGTAGTCAATCAAACTCATCCTCCAGAGCCCTTTAAAACAATGTGTTCTGGTGCAGAGCTTTGTATTTTACTTCTAGCTGTGAAAATTTCAAAGGCAAATTCAACAGTGAATTTTGCAGAAATTAAGAACTAAGGAATTGTCTCACTCAGGTGAAGCAGAATCCTTCCTTCCTTCCTTCCTTCCTTCCTTCCTTCCTTCCTTCCTTCCTTCCTTCCTTCCTTCCTTCCTTCCTTCCTTCCTTCCTTCCTTCCTGTTGCAATAGCATGGGTTCTTGCTAGTATATATCTGCTGCATCTAGATAATGTAACTATGTGAACCCCCAAGCACTAACATATCTCCTAAAAATTCCTCCTGGCATTAGGGGAAAATAAGCTTATTCTGGAGAAGAACCTTAGAACATTTCAGAGTAAAAACAAATCTATCAAAGGACAAATGTTGTATATCCATCCACATGATCCTCTTTAGAAAATTGAAAGAAGGGGCTCTTTCCCTTCAACACACATCTTCTGATGGGCCGGACAGGGTCCTGCTCTGCTCCTTTTCATCTCAAATTTCCCTCTAAGGGACTGAGCTTAATTCTCCTGCAGCCCTTCCGTTTTCAAATGCAGTCCTGCCTAGGCGACACTGTGAGCAGCACTGGCTGTCCCTAACCATAACTGTTGCAGGACCAGACTTTCAGGAGAGATGGCTGAGCGAAGCTAGAACCCATTCAAGGCGGCAGGGGCTACAGCTCTGAGTGTCGGTGAGATGCTGAAAAAGAGAAAAAAACGCAGCCTTACCAAACTGAGCCTGAGCTTGGGATAAGAACACAGCCGCAACCAGGAAGACGGAGAAAGCAGCCAGGGAGCTGTTCATCTTTGCTCTTGGGCTCAGAGGAGAGGAGATGAGAAGTAGGTAGGGGTAGTTTGTGCACCTCCTTAGCTTCATGCTGAAAGGCAGGATTCCCCATTTTATATAGGCTGATTGAGAGGGAGGGTGGAGATTTCCTGGAAACAAAATCCATGCTTCATATCTGAGAAATGATGACATAACAGCCCAAAATCTGCTAGAATCAGTAAAGTGTCTCGGGAGGATCAAAAAGAGGAAGCAAATGCTGTCAGAGAAAGGGAATCTGCAACCCTTCTTTAAGTTTGCAAAGTGGGTGGTGCTCAGGCCATCACTGCGGGTTCTGGAAATAACATTCTTGGGGAAAAAAGAAAAAGAAAAGGGTGGGGGAACAGTGATAGACTAGCAGGGTAGCATTTTCCAGCAAGGTGTGAGAGGGTCAGGAACAATGACTTGGGAAATCAAGTAGTGCCACTTGAAGGTCTGGTCTCCCTCACGTTTTTAATAAGTTATGAATATGTAGCACTTATTATTTATAGTCTTTTAAACATACATTTACTGTGGCTAGGGGCCTCAGAATCTGAAAGTGGGACAAGGCTTTGGGGATTTCTGGAAGAGTCTGCTTGCAAAGAAATAGGGGAACAGTTATGGAAAACAAAGAGTTCTCAAAGGACATTTGTTCTTTGGCTTGAGTTTGGCCCAGGTGCTGATCAAAAGATCCCCTTGAGAGCCCTCAGAGGTTTCCTCTGAGCCGGCATCTTCTCTGCCTTTCACAGCAGAGGCTCTTAGTGCAGCCTGACCCCGGAGAGGCTGCCCACACAGAGCTCCTTGCCCTTCCAGGGCACAAGGAATCGGTTAGCTCTCTGAACACAACGCTTGAATAACAAATGTGTTACCTTACTGAAGAGTTGCCCCAGATACAAAGTCCAAAACAGCTATCCACAAGACTGCCAACCCTTCCTTCTGAACATGAGAAGCTGAGCTGAATCATGACACTTGCATCAAGCATGCATCAGGGTAAACTAGGAGAAGGTTCTGATAGTGCCACTTTATGACTTCCAAACATAGAAAACCATGAGCCCACTGTTTAAGGATGCTCAATTTTCTTTGAAACTCAGCTGAACTCCTTGGATGTAAACCTGTTCCTAAACTGTATTCTAAAATGATATTTTCCACACAACTGCATAAGGCTGACAATGAATGCAGAACCTCACCAGGTCAAGAGCTGCATTACAGGTAGTCCCTGGGTTAAGGATGGCTGGGTTACGAACAACCCATAGTTAAGAACGGAGCCTACTGTAGCAAAAATCAAGTTAAATACACAGTGATTTGAGTTAAATGCACAATGGTTCGAGTTCATTACACAATACTACTTATACAGCATTATGTAATCATTCTGTTCCGGCTTACATACAAATTCGACTTAAGGACAGACCCTGGGAACGGAACTTGTTCTTAAACTGGGGACTACCTGTATTTATTTGTTGGTTGGTTATGCAAATGTCTATATTCCCTGTTCAAACAAGTCTAAGTTATCGATGTTAAGCTGGTGCTATCCATCTAAATTGACCCAATCAACCTCCAGTGTAAAAACAGTAGTGAAGGACAATCTGGCCACCATCAGATGAAGTTTCAATCACCTGCTTAAGAAGAAGTATCTTCACTTTTTTCTGGAATGCCTGGACTGAAGGGGCCAGGCATCTTTGAGGGCAACATGTTCCACAGCTTTGGGACAACCACCAAAAAGACCTGACTCTGGTCCTGGTACCGCACTGCTTTCAACTTATTGTTCCTACCTAGTACAAAGATCTGCTTCCCTATAATACCAATTGGTCAATTTGCAGTCTTGCTCTCAAGCTCTTCTCCTAGAGTATCTTGTTCTATTTGTCAGCCGGGTTTTTCCAGCAAAGCCTTGCATAGCTTTAGCCAGGGCAGTGGTGTATTACTCAGCAGAAGAATGTATAACAAGTTGTGCCAGTTCAAATCCATGTCCTGTCTGGTCTCAGAATTCTGGTGTCATGCTGCCAAACCATTTGTCTTTGGGAAACCCTCAATAGGGCGTAAGCTCAATAGCAGCTAACTGTTCATGTTCTAGCAGCCATCACCAATAGCGTTATACATCATGTTTTAGTTGTTTGAAGTGGCTGGCCTGGTTGTTTTACATTTTATGGTAGTAAATACCATTGTTTAGTTTTGTGCTAAGCGAAGAAGTCCTTCTTTTTGTCTATCCCAAGGTTTCTCAACCTCAGCAACTTTAAGACGTGGGGACTTCAACTCCCAGAATTCTGGGAGTTGAACTCCACACATCTTAAAGTTGATAAGGTTGAGAAACCCTAGTGTATCCTGAATCTCCTCTTCCTTGGCTTCATCTGCATTTGAGAGTTGTAGCAGCAATATCCATACATTCATGATGATGCAGCAACATTCCTTTAAGAGGTTTAGAGGAGAAAGAGGAAACAGATGCCTTTGGGAGGAAAGTAAGGTTAGCCCTTGAACTGAGTCAGGGCCTGGCCTGAGTCAGCTGGACAACAACCCCTCCCTCGCAAGACTCTCATGACAGGCAAGCTGCCATGATGTCCCCGGCTCTTGGAACATGTTGGATCCATCCATCCTTGGGGGCAAATGGATAAAAAGGATAGCCTGGGCAAGATGAACTTGATGATGCAACAAAGTAGTAGCTGTAAGTTGCTGCAAGGCAAGAAGCCACTTTCGGACCAACATTCCATTTATTATTTATTTTCCATTTATTCCATTTATTTTATAGATTTTAACTAGGTTTAATAGACATGCCATCTTCTAAGAGCAACATTGGGACCATAATTCTGTGCAGAGTTCTATTTTCTCACATTCCCTCAGATCAGCCTAAAAGATCTTGCTGATTCCTGACTATTGGAGATAGAGGAGAGCAATGTCAGAAAGATCCTCCAGATGTCTTCTCCAAAGAGCCTTACCTGGTCCCTTCCTAATTAACATTCTGCCATTTTTAAAGGTCCAGTTCTTCTTAGAGGCTTTTGATGGTGGTTCAGTTACCGGCTACATTTTGGTTGCTTTGAATCTAATCATGGTGTTTAAGTGGTTGTTTCTCTTGTTTCCATTTGGTGTATTTAGGAAAATTGCTAGCAAAAATTGTGACTAAAGGCAAAAGCTGCAAACCTGAATGTGCCTATATATAGAGAAATGTGAACAAAAATACATACAATTTTATAAGTCATTTTGGATATATACAGAAAAACAGCTCGTATGCTTTAAATAAATAAACTGAAATCCTGCCTTACAGGAACATGACATGAATTTATAAAACATGAAATTGCGTTTCTCATTCTTGCTGTTAACAAATTGCTAATTTGCTTGTCAAAACATAAATGCAACACACATGGGCTGGACCCATTTCAAGCTGGTTTTCAGAAGTAGATGAAACAGATATTCCCTTAGCGTTTGTACATGTGGATGTATTGTTCTCAAGTTCCTATTTTTATTTCTAATGAAAATGACCTGCTTACAAATGCATTAATTATTTTTATAGAGAATGTATGACTATATATCTGAAACAGTTTTCTCTGTTGGGAAACAGGTTGATTGATCCCAGTACTCCCTGTGGGAGACCATTTCATTAGAGAAAAAAAAACCTTTCAAGAGATCTAGAACTACTTTCTTCTCTAACACATCAGGAAAAAGGGCAAAAGAACAGTGGGAATCACCGCCATAGAACCTTTGGGTTTGGTAACAAAAAGATCCCCTTTGAGTTGAGGTCCAGGTGACTTCATGAACTGTTAGCCCTTTGAGGCAGTTGAGACAAGAAACCCAAACCATGAGTACTAACACTACCTTTATTGAAAGGTTACAGTAACAGAATCTTGCAAGTCTGAAAGCACATATCCCCTCCCTTGCCTTTACTTTCCAGAGAACTAGGGAGGGTCCCTTCTGAGGTGCTTCCCACAATCCCATTCCTTCAGTGGGCTGAGATATCTTTTGCCTGACCATTGACTAAACCAGTGTTTCTCAACCTTGGCCACTTGAAGATGTGTGGACTTCAACTCTCAGAATCCCCCAGCCAGCTGCTGGCTGGGGAATTCTGGGAGTTGAAGTCCACACATCTTCAAGTGGCCAAGGTTGAGAAACATTGGTCTAGACTGCAGCTCTTCCTCCTGTCTCTATTCTTCCAGCCCAATATATGAACAGATCCATGAGTACATGAAGGCATGGTTTGTTGAACAAAACATAGCAATCTAAATAAGCCACTAAATTATAAACCACAATTAAGCAACCACAATGGCTAGGCTCACATAACAGGCTAAACCAAAACCAAACAGACCACATTATTCCTTGGCCTAATATGTGAACACATCGCTGTTTTCTCTCTACATAATACATTTTATGACTTAGAAAATTAGACAGTTGCAAACTTTGCTCAGTTCCTTCCTTAAATGAGTAATTACCAAAAAATGTTATGCAGTCATCTGTCACTAATAAATGAACTATAAATCATAAACATAAATGTCAAGAATACTCATTCATGGTTACCTGAAACACTCTTCTGGTTGTAGAAGCAAATAATGCCAATGCAGAAATAATATACAGTAAAACAGGTTAAACCCTAGAGGGGGCACTGAAACTTTTGCCAGAGCAGATGTTTGCTTTTTGGAGGGCGTGACTGGCATTTCGGACTCCCCCTGAAAATTATTCCAGCAAGAAAAGGATGAGTCAAACGTTAATAGTAATATGTTTGCAATATGAAAGGTGCAGAAGATTTCTCAACACCAATTTTAATTCAGTGTGGTTCTCATTGGTAGAGAGAAAGACCATGCCAGCTTGTATAGAATCCAGCAGATCAACCATCTGTTCTTCTACTGAGAGATCTTTGAAACTAGTGATCTCTGTTTTGTATCTGACTCAATCTGCTGGGAACAGGGAAAAGGCTTGCTTAATTAATTTTTGAATTGCTTCATTTATTTAGAATTTATAGTAGAATTTTGTCTGTTAAATGGGACTTCCTATTCCCCACCCCTCCAGTTAAAAGGAGAGCATTTGGGGCAAGCAATTTTTGGATCATGGGGAATATGAGTCAGATAGCAAGGAAAAC